TCGCTCTCAGAGTTGAAGTGGAGCGCGTCAACGACGGGGGCGCGGAGGAAGGTGGGGAGAAAGTCGCCGAAGCCGAGGGAGAGCACGTAGCTGGCGGCGTCGCTGGAAGCTGAAGTGCATCATCAGCGTCGGAGTCCGACGGGATCGTGGCGATGGCCGTGGAGACGGTGGCCGTGTCGCTGTCTGACGACGAAACGGCAGGGGTGAGCCGTGGAGACGACCCCGAGGATGGTGAAGACGAAGAGCTGCGGATGAGGTAGTCCCGTCGGCCGAGCTGGTCGCGGTCGATCTCCGAGCACTTCAGCGGTGACGCAAGCTGCATCGAACGTACACCAGCGAGAGCGCAGCTGCGGAGGAGGGGCGGGGACAGGGGCCACACGGGCGCCAGCCTCGCTTCGTTGTACATGTTGCAGGCGGCCGCCATCGCCGAGAAGGTGGCCAGCGAGGGCTCAGACAAGCCCCATCTGGACATCCACGGGAGCGGGAACGGTCTCGCGAGAGCCTGTCGAAGGGCACGGTGCATGACGGGGCATCTCGCATAGTGCCGCAACGAGTCGAGCTTGCCGAGACAACCAAAAACGCAATGCTTCTGCCCGTCAGGAGAGATGATACGGGCCGAAGTCATCCAGCCATCAGACCAAGTGCGCAGGACTGCCATGGCCCACGAACACGGGCAGCGGGCGAGGACGCTCTTGCACACGCCCCAGTCGATGTGCGATAAGAGGCCCGCCGACCTGCCAGCGAACTTCCGCAGGCGCAGCACGAAGAGGTCAGTGATAGGCTTGTTCATCATCGCAAAGGCCCGCAGCGCTTCGTGAGCCGCCCTCTGAGGACGAGGACGGGGACGGCCGCTCTCACGAAGTTCAGCCAGCGCAGCGACGGCAGCACGATCACCAAAGACGGCCAGAGGGCCAGGAGGAGGGGTGCCCGCGGCAGCCAGTTCCAGGTTCTCCACAAAGGCGGGGGCCAACCAGAAGGACGGGTACGGCTTGCCGGTCGCCAGCATGGACAGGGTGGCATCGTACGGGGCAGAGCTCGCGTGGTTCCTCAGCTGCTGGAGAAGCCTCTCCCAGCCAGGGAACGTGTGCAGCGCAGCCCGCGTGATGGTGGCGACCGCCAGGTGCCCCCACCGCGTGCAGCGCGGGCCGCCCCACTGAGCGATCTGCGTCCAGAAGTCGAGGGCGAAAGTGCCGAGCGGGATGCGGAACACCTGCGCGAGCGTCGACAACTCAGGCTGCAGCACGGACGCTGGTGGCCAGCAGAATTGGGCAACGTAAGATATGGTCGTGACGGCCCGAGTGTTGTACAGTGTAGCGGAAAGGCTGGCGGGAGTGGTTCCCCGCCCGATGGCTTGGGCCCTGAGACGCAATTTGGCGACGGGGTCAATCCACGAAGTGGACGGAACAACAGCAGGCCCCAGCCAGAGGCCCAGGTAGAGCAGCTTGGGAGCCACCTCGAACGAGCTCCACTCGGGGACCAGATGGGAGACCCAGTAGGAGACCCAGAGAGGAGGAGGAGGAGGAGGAGGAGGAGGAGGAGGAGGAGGAGGAGGAGGGAGGAGGAGGAGGAGGAGGAGGAGGAGGAGGAGGGAGGAGGAGGAGGGAGAGGAGGAGGAGGAGGAGGAGGAGGAGGAGGAGGAGGAGGAGGAGGAGGGGGAGGAGGGAGAGGAGGAGGGGGAGAAGGAGGAGGAGGAGGAGGAGGAGGAGGGGGAGGAGGAGGAGGAGGAGGAGGAGGAGGAGGAGGAGGAGGAGGAGGGGGGAGGAGGAGGAGGAGGAGGAGGAGGAGGAGGAGGAGGAGGAGGGGGAGGAGGGGGGAGGGGGAAGAGGAGGGGGGAGGATCGGAGGGAGGATCGGAGGGAGCGTCGCAGGGAATGCGCGGCACCCCGCCACCTGCGGAGACGAGAGCGACGAGGGGGGGGGGCGGGCGGGGCGCAGGGCAGGCGCGGGGGCGGGCCCAGCTCTGCGAGGGGGCGGCTCTCTTCGGTCAGGGCGTCTGCCATCGAGCTGCATCGCAGGCGCAGTCGTAGCATACAGTCGGGGCGTTGACCTAAGGAACCCTCAATAGGGAACGAGGCCCCTTGTTTCCATAAGTTAAGCTTCGATTTCCGATCGGAAACATAAGGAACACCTGAGACAAGCTGCGAAACAATTAAGGAACACGGAGCCCCTCCCCAATGAAAAGGGTTCCTTCTTCAGCGCCCCGACTGTAAGACTATAATCGAGTTGCCTCTGTCGAATAATCGTGTGCACGATTACTGAAATCCCTGGACTGCGTGGGGGGAGCGTGAGGTTCTCAGAGTGTTGAGGGTGCCCCGGGCGAAACTGACAGAAACATCGCGGATGACACAATCCACCACTGTGCCCCCTGGCACGTTGGAGCGTGCTAGAATGCAGAGTGCTTTCTGGTAGGGTGTCAGTTATCTTCTAAGGGACCCGCCCCCCTGATCACGCTGCCCTACATGCATCGTTCTGCCCCCCCGCCCCTCCCGAGGCCACAATCCGCAGCAAAATACAACAAGTTCGCGCTCCCGAGGCCTAACTCCCTCGTGAACTGCGACAGGTGCGCGCTCCCGAGGCTGAGATGCCTCCAAGAATGCCCCAACGAAGCCCAGGACGGCGTCAGAAGGCCCCAAAACGTCCCAAGGGGGGCCCAGAGGGCCCCCTGGCTGCCTGACAGGAAGCCAAGACAACCACTAGACGGCCCAACCGCGTGCATTGAAGGCTCCTCAACTAGTGAGGACGAAAGTGTCACATGTGACTGCCTTCCTCTTCCTCTTCTTCCTGCTCATCTTGCTTCTCCTGCTCCTCCGCGTCCTCCTCATCATCATCCTTCACTATTGCTCCTGCTCCTGCGCGTCTTGCTCATCACCATCCTTCACATCATCGTCATCATCATCATCCTCCTGCTCACATGAATCATCCTCCTCATCATCCTCATCCTCCTCGTCACCATCACCACCACAATCATCATCATCGTAATCATCACCAGCATCATCACCCTCATCAGCATAAGCGTCATCATCAGCACCATCAACAACAGCATCATCAGCATCACCATCACCATCATCATCACCACCGCCATCATCATCACCATCATGATAAATATAAGCACGAACATCATCACCATCATCAGCATCATCACCGTCAGCATCATCAGCATCATCATCGTCAACAGCATCATCGTCACCGACAGCATCAACAGCATCATCATCCTCATCAGCGGCATCCGCATCAGTATCAGCATCATCACCAACACCATCAGTATCATCAACATCATCACCACCATCAGCATCCACACCATCAGCATCATCATCAGCGTCAGTATCGTCATCATCGTCATCATCAGCATTGCTATCGCCATCATCATCGCCAGCACCATCACCATCATCATCATCATCACCATCAGCATCATGTTCTCCATCATCATCATCATCATCATCATCATCATCATCATCATCATCATCATCAGCCTCGCCATCATCAACACCATCCTTATCCTCATCCTCATGGCTCCCCCATACCTAGAACCACGCGCTGTCAGACAAGGCGGCCTCCCGTGCCCCCTTGAACAACCGCCACCCGGAATGCTGGGCTGTCGCGCTGGCGGGACTTGCCGCAGGCAGCTGGATCATGGCCTCTGAGCTCTGCACCCTCCAAAGGTACGCATGCAAATCTATGCATGCGTACACCTATACGACCCCCCTTCGTGTGATACGGAGATTCGGATGGGGGGGAACTCATGTCTCACTCGATCGATATGACTATCTATCTCGCTATCGATCTCAATATCGACCTCGCTGTCAACCTCACTGGCGATCTCACAACCGACCTAACTATCGATAGCATTATCGATATCAATGCCGATCTGATTATCGATCTCACGACGAGACACCGACGGCCGACGGGACACCGAGGGGACACCACTACCGATCTCACTCGATCGATCTCAATATCGATCGCAATACCCGTTTCACTTCGATCTCACTATCGACCTCACATTCCATTGCACACTCGATCACACTATCGATCTCACTATCGATCTCACGATCGATTTCACTCTCGATCTTACTATCGACATTCCTATCGATCACAAAATCGACCTCACTAATTACCGATATCACTACCAATCTCGCTGTGGACCTCACTATCGATCGCGCAATCGAACTCACTCTCGATGTGACTATCGATCTCGTTATCGATCAACATATCGATCTCACGACGGGGCACCGACGGGGCACCGACGGGACATCACCACCGGTTCCACTCGTTCGATCTCACGATCGATCTCCCTATCGATCGCACTGCCAACGTCACCATCGATCTCATGATCGATCTACTATAGATCTTACGATCGATCTAACTATCGCTCTCTCTATCGATCTCACTATCGATCTCACCGACGGGACAGCGACGGGACACCGACGGCACACAGGCAGGACACCCGCGGGACCCCTCCGGCCACCGCTGGCCAACCAGGGAGGCGGGGCGGTCTTTTTGCCCGGCGGCGCCCTGTCCGGAGGAGGAGTCGCTCCTCTGGCCCGCCCACGCAGCTCCGCCTCGCCCGCACGCACGGCACGAACACGACACCGAAACCTAGTTCCCCGTGGGGCGCTGTCCGTTTCACTGCGATCTGACTCCCTCGCCTTCTTTTTGAAAATCTTATACACATAAGTATGAAGGGGCCCTGGGACACACAAATAAATACACACAAATAGAAAGATTCCCATATGTTCCCATATTTTCTGGGTTTCTGTTTTCCCCCCCACTTCCCAGATTTTCCCATATTTTCTTAGGAATCGACGAATAATTGTCTGTGTGTTTTTTCCCATCCTGAAAGTCTGCACATCGATAGCTACACGTACACCTGTGCAGATATCAGCGACAGCTGTGTCTCCATGTCTCTCCTTTTCGCTGCTCGCTGCCTCTCTCTCTCTCCCTCCCTCTCTCTCTCTCTCTCTCCCTCTCTCCCTCTCTCCCTCCCTCTCTCATGGAATTCCTTATTTGCGAGAAATCAACTATACATATGTGTTGCTTCTTGGGCTGCCTATAACCGCGTGGCGTAACAGAGTGCTGCCTGAAAACCGCGGTGTCTCAGCGACAACTCCGTCACACAGCCAGTTGGGCAGAAGAGATGACGGAGCCTCACGCGTTACGCACATTAGAACTATCAGCGACAGCTCTGTGTCTCACAGCCAGTTGGGCAAAGGAGAGCGCAAAGCCGCACGTTGCAAATAGAATACTCCAGAAGTTCCGCCTGTTTGTGCGGCTTCTTCTCTTCGCTGTGGCCCAGCGCTCGCCGCGATTGATTCGCGCGAACGCCGAGCTCAAGACACGATCGCATGTGCAGCTCAAGATCTGACCAAAGCTGCACCTGTTCGTGCCGCTCCAAATTGCATTTCCAGATCCTACCCGCTGGCCCCTTCACAAACAAACGTACGCAGTTAAGTTGGTCAAGAGGTTTGCAAGATTACAGCTTGGTTGGACGGTCACTAGGAAAAACGTTAGTCGGAAGCCCGCCTGCGCATTTCGAGGTAGAAATAGCCCTTCTCTGCAGCGAGTTGGGCGTCCGTCCAGTAGGTCTTAGCCACTTCCGAAGAGATCGTGCTGCTGGCGACGGCTTGCAGATCGCCAATGAGTTCAAGTCCGGCAGCATATGACTCAGCAAGAAATCGTGACAGGGTTGCCTGGCCGCCAGTTGACTCCCGTACACCAATAAGACATATGAGTTTGCCATGTGGTGCGAGCAATGCTTTTGCTGCCCGCGGCAAAGTGATGGCACCAGTGGTCGTGTACAAAGGGTCGGAGGAGATAACTACGTCCGTGGCGCCGAAGCGGAGTAGCGAACAAGTCGTGGCGCGCGTAGGATGCTCCCAGTCGAGCGACGTGAACGCAATGCTGCCACCTGCATCGCAGATGGCTGCTGCATTCGCTGCGGCAGTGATGGCCACCAGCCGCATGCAGCCTGCGTCTCGGTCTGTTAGCACGACAGAAGCACCGCAGGCTGCTGCCACGACACCTGCCAGGCCACAGCCGCAGCCGAGCTCCACGACGCTGCATCCCTTTAGGGCTCCCGGCGCCTTCGCGAGCTCAGCTCCTAGCAGCAGGGCGCTGGACCACACCCGCAGGCCAGTGCAGCCCGTGGACACCGCCGCGCTGCGTTGCGCAACGAGCACATCTGGTATGAGCCCATCGACCCGAAACGGCCGAATCTCTTGCGCGTGCTCGTCCTCGGTGGGCAGTGCTCTCTGGCACAGCTCCAGGGACACGCCCGGGAAGCCAGGGTACCAATGCGAATAGGAGAGCAGGGCCTTGGCGGCGTAGCTGAGCCTCCTCGACAACCCAACCGTCCTCACGCCGTGCCTAGCAATTGGCGGTGGGCCCGTGCTCGAGCCGACGACCGGGCCTGAACCAAACGCCGACCGTACGGCTGCCTTGTTGCGGAAGGTGGCCGCCACGGAAATCCTCGGGTCCAGCTCGCCGACTTTGCACTCGCCGCCCCAATGGATTAGGGAGGGCGTCCAGGTGCACACGGCTCCGGAGGGTGCCTGCATCACGACCTGTTGCGACGGCAGATCCTCCAAGAAGCTGAGGCCCTTCTCGTTATCCATGTGATAGGGATGTCTAGGGCTGTAGAAGTAGTCGTCGTGCTCGATCGGAATGACGTGCATGCAGCCGTTACTCGAGGTCGCACCTGTTGAATTGATACTTACCCATGCGTTCAGGCTATCTGAATCCCCCTTGTCGTTGTGGCAGGCGCTGTAGGTCATGTCACGATGGCTGGCGCCAAAGTTGGCTCCGACGTATCCCGAAGCATTGCCTCCCTCGGGGGCACGCAGGGACCAGCAGTTCAGGTCGGGTTCCATGAAGCAGCCTTCGCCCAGGAGTTCCTCGAAGATGTCAAACAGCGGGTATACCACGTGCAACCACAGCTCGTCGTAGACGAAAATGAAGCACGGCGGCCATCCATGCGCACGAAGGTTGTGGATTGTCTGCACAAGAGCGGCGAGGACCGCAGCGGATTCAGCCTCTGAGGCTGTTCCTCTTCCACCCTGCAACAAATGGGCAGAATCCAGCACCGCAAATCCGCGCTCTCGCAATTGCACCACCTGCGCGGCGTTGATGGGCTCTGGTGAGAACTTCCCCTGGAGCTTGGTAAGCTGGTCGGTAAGATCGTCGCTGACGTGCAGGCCCGCGGAAATGCCCTCCCAGAACTGGCGGTCTGGATAAGTACCGGCGTCGGCCTCCTCAAAGTACAGGCCTTGGAAGAACAGGAGGATATCCATCGTTTTTGTCAGAACCTCGTCACTCATGGGGATGCCATGGACCTTCAAGTACTGCTCCTGCTGGCGGCGCAAATTGTCCTTCATGTCAGCTCGCGGCACTCAGCACGGAGCGCGAGGCAAGGACCAGCACGAACCATGTCAGAGGGCGGCACCTGTCCTGACCCGGCCGAAAACAGCTTAGCCACAATGGCAACATATAGAAGGAATAACCACTGTGGAACGAGACCCTGCCTAGGACATTCAAATTGTATCCGCCACCGCGCTTGCAGCGGTGTGTGTCGGGCCCTCTTGCTCCTTGCCCTTCGTTCGAACTGGGTGGGAAGTGGCCTTCCCAAGGGGGGTGTTGTTTTTCGAGCCGCCCTCACCCCCTCACCCCAATAATACTAACAGTGCTCGACCAAACCCCAATAGACTCCGACGGTGGTTGAATCCAACTCTAATGTAATCCTACTATAGTCGGGCTCAGTTTAACTTTTATGTACGCAATCCTACGATCCGCCACCGTTCCGCTGGGAACGGAGTGTGCGTGTCCTCAGATCCTCTCACTACCCCTCTCAGCCTCAGTACTCACTCCTTAGGAGTTCTGTAAAAAAGGGTTCGGAGCCCCTCGGCCCAAATCTCTTCAGGGGGCCCGCAGTTCCTCCGCGTTTTGTCGCATGACCGTTTCGAGCCCAAGAGGGGCCCAAGACGGTCCAAGAGGGCCCGAGTCGCCGAACGATCGCTCCACGACGCCCAAGGTGGCCCCCAGACGGCCCAAGAGGCCTTCGAGGCGCCCAAAGAGGCCTCCCAGAGGCCTCCCAAGAGGGCCACAAGAGGCAAACATCATTGATTTGCGTCAGGTGTTTGGCGGATGTGGGCGTTCTCGACCCCTCGGCTCGCCGACGCTCCCAGACGGCTGTAGAGGCCCCCAAGACCCCAAGACTGCCCAAGAGGCCTCCAAGAGGGCCCCCCAACGACCCAAGAGGCCCCCAGACAGCCCAAGAGGCGCCCAAGAGGCGCCCAAGACGGCCCAAGAGGGCCATAAGACGGCCCCAAAAGGGGCAAGGCCCCAGGACCCCCCCAAGAAGAGGCCCCCAAGATGTCCCCAAGAAACCCAAAAGAGGCCTCAGGAGGCCCCCAAACGGCACCCAAGAGGCGTCGAAACTGCCTCCAAGAGGCCCCAGAGAAGCCTCCCACGAGATCCGAGCGAACGTCCATTAGGCCTCATACCCAAAACTCAGGCACGGTGGCGGAATGGACCGAAGACCATTAGATAGCCAGAACCAGGTCTACTTGAATTATACGAAGGCTCGGTCCAGCTCTAACATAAATCCTATTAGAGCTGAATCCGAGTGAAATAGCATTCGAGTCGGGCTCGATGCAGCCCTAATGCAGTCCCACTATATCTGGATCCAGCTCCAGTTGGATCCAGTCCATCGGTGGAAAGAAGGGCGGCATACGTTGACATGAAGGGGGTGGGCCTCGAAGTGCGGTTGACCACGGCACATTTTCCACATTCGGAGTACACAGACGAGGAGGATGACGAGCTCATGATTCAGGTAGGGGAGATCGTTGAAGGCGGAAGGCGAAAAGGATTCACAAACATCTTGGGGGTGGATGCTAATGCAGTTATTGGGGTCAGCACGTCTACCGACGACTCGGACATTATCGGAGACTGCAGCTTTGGACAGCGCTGCCACCGAGGGGATCTGTTAGCAGCGTGGCTTCACGGCGTGCGTCTGGCAGCTGTAACCACGTACGCCGAGAAGACGTTCGAAGGAAGCTGGACCCAGCGGCAGTGGAGCACCGGCACCCGGAGGCAAATCGATTTCACGCTCATTGACGAGATAGCCGCCTCCTCCTTCTCGAGGTGGGGCGTGACGGACGCGTTGGACGGAAAATCTGACCACAGACCGTTCTGGGTTGACTTCGTTCTTGCCGGGCATTTGGTCAGACGACGGCAACGGAAGAAGCCTGTGGCCTCGTGGAAGCCGAAAAAAGATGAAGATGGGAAGCCGACGGTTTATCATCGGGGCTTGGACGAGCACATCCAGAACATCGATGGCGCAGGAGACCCTTCCAATGAAGTAGTTGCAGCTGCGGCTGAAGCGGGTGAGACAAGACAAGGTGCCACGAAGCCCAGGCACAGCTTAGACACGCAGGCGCTGCTAGCAGCAAGGCGCGCCGAGGACGATCCCGAGCGAAGGAAAGACTTATCGAAGAAAGTATGGAAATCGCTGCGCCGAGACAGGAGACGCAAACAACAACAGGAGCTGAAGCTTTGGTTATGAAAGGATCTGGGCTCGGTGCTTTGCGGCGCGTGGAACAAAGACATAAAGGATCCGATCGCACATTGCGAATGATAGACAAAAGCGGCAACGCACAGGCAGACCCAAATTCTATATGCGAGGTGTTCGCTTGCTTCTACGAGGACGTATACCGGGAGGAGGGTCAGAAGACCACGCCACAGGGAGACACCTTTTACGAAGACAGCGTGACGAAGGAAGAAGTGAAGGCCGCTCTGAAAAAGCTCAAGAATGGAAAGACCGGCGCAGACGACGGACTTGTAGCGGAAATGCTCAAAACTGGTCATCAGGGCTTGGTTCAAGTTCTTGCGGAATTCTTCTCGCAACTGCTTGGTGGAAGGCTGCTGCCGCCAAGCGAATGGAAGCTTACGAAGATGCGCGTGATCTTCAAGAAGGGGGATCCAGCGCTTCCCCAAAACTATCGCCCTATTGCCATCTTGCCGGTCATGACAGAACTCTTTAGCACAGTTTTGTACAACAGGGTGGCTGCGGACATATATTCGAAACTCTCACAAGAGCAATTTGGCTTTCGATCGGGCCGCGGGTGTGTGGATGCTGTGCATAGTGACTTATGGCATAGTGTGCGTACCGTCATCGAGAAGTCGCTGGAGTGGGGAGAGGAGCTGTGGGTGGCCACGTTGGACGTGGAGAAAGCTTTTGACAGAGTCCATCATTCAGCTCTCTTCGACGCTTTGGTAAACAACAACATCAATGCAGCAACTGTCGCAGTACTGCGGCGCATGTACCACGGAGTCAAAGGGTATGTCTCACTTTGGGATGGGGCTGATAGCCGTACGTTCGACATTGACGGGAGTGAGGCAAGGCGACCCCCTGTCCCCGGTGCTGTTCAACCTCGTTTTGGACGGGGCCCTTGCGGAGGTCAGTAAAAGATGGAAGCGAAGAGGTTACGGCACCGACGTCGGACATGACTTTCGTGGGCATCGGCTTACCCATGTGGCTTTCGCTGATGACCAGACGCTCCTGGCCAGGAGTTGGTTCTCTTTGAAACGCATGATTCTGACGTTACGGGACGCATTATTGAAGAGAGGTCTTTCTTTACACCCGACTAAATACAAAGTGCAGACGAATCAGCCTTGGTTCGGCAGGGGCACGGTGCAACTCTCAGAAGGATTCTCAATCGATGTTTTGGAACAAGATATGACTTTAGATTTTCTTGGGACGGCGCTATCTCTGACAGACCCTACGGAAAAAAAAGTGATATCGAATCGCATCGCGTCCGGTTGGAAAAAAGTTCTGGTCGCTGAAGGGCTTGCTGCTGAACAAGGCGTACTCAACGAAGAAACGACTGCGCTTGTTCGATACCACAATCGCAGAGTGCGTGCTATGGGCGACGGAATCCTGGACCCCTCGGGCCGAGGAGCTCTGGCGATTGAAGACAGCTCAACACAGCATGCTTCGGCGCATTGCTGGAGGCAAAAGGAGAGAGGACGAAACGTGGGTAGAGTGAATGAAAAGGGCAACATCCAAAGCGAGGGACATGGCGAACGACTCCGCTGTCCGGGACTGGGAGGACGAGCACTTCCGGCGAAAATGGCGGTGGGCCGGGAAGCTGTCGAACTTCCACCATGCATCATGGGTGTATGCTGTCACCACGTGGCGCGACTCTCAATGGACAGCTGCGGTAGCCGACCTCGGCTCTGGGCGTCCACTCCGGCCTCTCCGGCGCAGATGGATGAAATTCGAAGATGTGCTCAGGCGGTTCTGTACAGACATGGATCTGGGAAACTGGCGGCGGCTAGCCGCGGACAAGGTAGAGTGGGAGAGCCGCGCTTCTGAGTTTGCACAGTGGGCGGCGCGCGCGTAGCATGTAATATATTATTTGTCCTGCCCCTCGCGGGCCATTCTATGCCAGGACGTTCTGCTTCTGCTTCCAGTTGGATCCTACTAGATCCTCATCCCGCTCTGATGTAATCTCCTTCCATAACTTGACCGAGCTCTAACTAAATCCTTAATAGCATCATACTAAGGCTCGGTCGTCGTCGTCGTCGTCGTCGCCGTCGTCGCCGTCTTCGTCGTCGTCGTCGTCGTCGCTACCCGACGGCGCAGGCGCCGGCGCTGGCGCTGCCTCAAGAGGGGGGGGGGGCGGTTCGACCCCCACGCCCCCTTTTGAGGGAGGAGGGGTGGAGTTCGACCCCCCCCCCTTGCAGTTCATTACCAGCCTGGAACATATCCCTATCCCTGTGCTGGGCACCTCCTCATCACGATGCCAATCTTAGGGATTCCCTTATTTCTTGAGGGCGAATCCCTAAGATTGTCATCGCCTTTGGGCGTGTCAATCTTAGGGATAGGGATACGTTCGAGGCCGGTAATCACTGCTGCGAAGCAGCGCCGCGCTGGCGCGCACGCCGCGGGCTGCTGCACCGCTCGCGCTCGGTGCACGCCCTGCCGTGCTGGAGCGCACGCCGCGGGCTGCTGGGACGCCTCCCGCCCGTGAACGTGCAGGTGCTGGGGCGCACGCCGTGGGCTGCTGGCGCGCTCGCGCTCGGGGAGGACCCGGTGCTGGGAGCGCACGCCTCGTTTCTGGCGTGCGCTCGAGCGACACCCCCGTCTCTTGCCATCGCTCGGGGTGTCCATGCCCCGTACCTTGTTCGGTCTCGTGCGTGCTTTTTGTGGCTAGATGGTCCAGGATGCTCCTCGATGGTCCTCGCCGGGAAAAAGTGCACATGTCCGAGCGATGCCAAGGCATGTGCTCGAGCGACATCTCATTTGGGGCATGGCACATAAAAAAATGCGATAGGGGAGGGGTAAGGGTCGGGGCGGGGGGGGGCGCCAGGGTTCTGCCTAGGAGGGGATGACGATAAAGCTAGGGCGAGAAGAGATGAGGAGGAGGAGGACGATGAGGGTGATCAAGAGGATGGGAGGTCAAGAGACTGACGACAAGTGCTCGAACAAAACAATGCTTGTCGTTTTCGTGTTGCTTTCGCTTCTCCCTCGTGTTCTCTCCAGTCCGCCTTTGCGGCCAAACGAAGTCGAAACGAAAACGGAACACGAAATCGCCAAAACACCGTCGCCGCTTCGCCGACAATCCACCGAGCACGCTCCAGCCAGCTCCCGCGGCTCGCAGGCCGCAGCACATACCACCGCCGCAGCCCGCTGCAGCCGGTCGCCGCCTGCAGCCCGAGGCGGCGCCTCGCCGACACCACTGCAGCCGCAGCCTGCCATGCCAACAGAAGCCCGCGCCCTGCTGCCCTGCGGTCAAGACCGGCGCGCCACCGCCGCCGCCGCAGCTGCATGCACAGCCAGCCGCCGCAGCCCGCACCCCCGCCGCCGCCGCAGCTGCATCCAGTCCACAGCACAGCCCCCGACCCGCAGCCCACAGCCAGCAACCCACCCCGCGCCGCGGCCCGCGCCCGCTGCTCGACGCCGCAACATGCAACCGCGGCCGCCGCAACAGCCGCAGCCCGGCGCCTCCGCAGGCCGCGGTCCGCGGCCCGCAGCCCGCAGCCGCAACCTGCGCCCGCAGCCCAAGCCGCGGCCGACACAACCCGCTCCCAGCGCTGCCGCAACCCCCTGCGCCACAGCGACTGCCTCAGTCGCAGCTCCGCCTTCGCCCCCTCAGCCGCTGCCACACCCATGCCCGTCGGACGGAAGAAGCGGGTAGAAACATGAAGTAGGAAGGCGTTGGAAGTAGATTGGGCTTCCGCCCGCCCCCTGAAGAGGAGGGAAGAAGGAAAACCACTCGAATCTTCAAGTAGGAAGGCGCCTAAAATATATTGGGATCAGAAGATCCCAGAATACCTACTTTCAACGACAAGCGTGCATCCGCAACCGCACCCACAACGCCGCCGCCGCAGCCTTACTCGCAGCCTGCCGCAAGGGCCGTACACACAGCTACGACGTTGTCGCCGCGACGTCGAGGCCCTCATCAGCCCGCAGCCGCGGGAGCCCACGGCCGCAGCACGCAGCCTCAGCCCGCAGCCCGCCATCCGGAGCCTTACAGCCGCAGCCCCTCAGCCGCAACCGCGCCCCGCTTCGGCCCGTCGCCGCGGCCAGCAGCCCGCAGCCCGCGTCCACAGCAGCACACGGGCGCGGCGTGCAGCCGCAACAGCAGCCGAAAGCCGCCGCCCTGCTCTCACTTCCTTCCTCCTGCATCCTCCGCTCTGCTCCCTCCTCGCTGCCTTCCTCCTCCTCCTCCTCCTCCTCCTCCTCCTCCTCCTCCTCCTCATCATCATCATCATCATCATCATCATCATCATCATCATCATCAGCATCCTCCTCCTCCTCGTACTGCTTCCCCCCTCCTCCATCTCCGCCACCCCCCTCACTCCCCATCCTCGCCACCACCCTCAAAACAAGAATCTCTCCTCCATCCTTCGTCCAACCCGATGAACACTGAATACTAACAGGCCCAGACGTACAGACCGTGGAGGGGCAATCGAAACAATAGACAGCAGTTCCCGCAATGGGTATGTGGAACTAGGAATGGAAGGGATGCGCGTTTTCCATGGAAGACGTGGAGGTGGATATCTGCGATGCTACGCGGAGGAGCATGGCATACATGAAGGATCGAGAAGCTCAACGAACGAGCGCAATACTACTCTGCATGCCGCTCCATCAGACCACTTCTTTCGAAATACTGTGCATACCTGTGCTCCTGGCCATGGTAATGTGTCTTCACATTCCAGCTGCCTTAATATATATCGTCTGGGGAGGATTCGTCCCTTGTGAGTGAAATCTGACAGTCGTGTTTCCTTAGACCCTTCCACGGGTCGTACGTGTCCTCAATTTGCGCCGAGTCCAAGCTGAAGGACATGAAACATCTCAATGCCTTCACCTTCCGCATGCACCTAGCTAACTTCTGCCTCGCCTGCAACTTTCGCTCGAAGCGCCTTTCGCGCTGCACCACCTCCTTGACAAAGTAGAGCCTGTCGCTGATGGCTTCCAGCGCCTCGGCGCGGCACAGGTGCGTCAGCAGGAGGGAGCTTGCCCACTGCGGGCTCTCTGGGCTGTTGATCTCGACTGGGTGCACTATGTGCGTCTCGCTGTAGCGAATGTTGTCGTCGAAGAACATGTCGTGCGTGCTGGTGCTGGCGGAGGCATCGAAAAAGAAGACCTTGCCAGCCGTGGACGACTGCTTCTTGTTTTTCCAGTGGAAGAAGTGGTCCCGCAGGGCGAAGGTGCCCGTGGTGGAAGTGAGTTTCCGGACAAACTCGCCGATCTCGGCCTCCGAGCCGGAGCGCACGTCCACCCCGGTGAAGGAGTCGTAAAAATCAATGCTCGGCGCGACGTGCTTGAACCTGCCCTCGCCCGGCTGGTCGATGGTACCTGCGCCACCACAACGCCAGATTCTGACACACGCCCGTGAGCATGTCTCCGATGCCTCCAGGGAGGGCAGCGGCGCGTAGAAACGGCGGCTTTCATCGACGGTCTACACACCGCGATCCTTCCCTGAGGGCCAGGAGCAATCCAGTGGGGGGCGTCTGCATATTTGCTATTGCTCGGCCTAGCCCGAATCCATATTTCCCCGGGGTAAGTTGAATGGACTGGGCTAGATTAACCTGGTCGCACCCGTTTGGCAGCCATTGTATGTTCGGCCAGCAAGTGCGCAACCTGTGGCATCGCCAATGCCAGGCCGCTTTATAACCGACCACCGAGTGCGCGTCCCATGGCGCAGGCAGTTTCCTTCTCGGCCGCCGAGCTCGTCCCCTATTGCGCAACCAATAGCAGACCAGTGTATTTTTGATCGCCGCGTTTCCGATTTATGGCGCATGCAAAAATTGCAAGCATATTCATTCTCGGACTCCGAGTACGCAGACTATGGCGCGGCCAATGGCAGGCCTGGCTATGTTCGAAAGATGAATGCGCAACCTCTGGCGCACCCGGCGGATGGCGCAACTTACGGCACAACCAATGGCGCAATCCACGGCGAAACTGATGGCTTAACCCGTGGATGGCACGGCCAAGAGCAAGGCATTTTATTCTCGGACTCCGAGTGCGCAATCTGTGGCCAACCGATCGGGTCTGGTGATTTGTGCTCGGCCGCAGGGTGCACAAAATACACGGCGCAACCCATGGCGCAATCCATGGCGCAGTGTATGGCTCGACCTGCGCAGGGCGCAATCAGTGGCGCACCCCGCGGATGGCGCAACCCATGACGCAGCTTCTGGCGCAACCCGTGGACGGCACAGGCAATGGCCGAGGCAACCTTTGGCACAACCCACGAAGGGCGCAGCCCATGGACTCAACCTACAAGCGGCACAGCCCATTGCGCAACCGGTTGATCCCGCACCCCACGGAGGCCACACGGGCTAGGCCTGGGGTGTGCTCGCCGTCTGGGCTGGCGGTGGCAGGGCCGACGCGGCGAGTTGTCGTGTGATGGTGCCGTAGGTAGAGAGAGAGAGAGAGAGAGAGAGAAACAAAAAAAAAAGAGCCAACACAACATCACGCACATACACTTCTGGAGGCCCGCGCGGAGCTCAAACCGTGCGCGGTGATGCTATTTTGATGCCGGGGTGCCCATCACGAGCTTAATCCCGGAATCGTCCCGGAAAAAGGTCCCGCACTGGTGCGGGCTCGACAGGGAGATCCGGTAGTCGGGCTGCCCGTCCCTGCCGTCGAAGACCGCCCCGGGGAACAGCGGGTGCCGGCCCTCGCAGAACATGTTCAGCTCCTCCAGGAAGGCGGGAGACCGCATATGCACTTCGGACGATATGCACTCTGGGCGGTGTAATATGCACATGCAAACCAAATAAACCATCATCGGCTACAGAAGAGGGTGACCCTATGCAGGAGTACCCTTTGGTGCGCGGCTTGCCAGTCGCTGCTTGCGATGCGGCAGTGGCGGCCTGCGCGCTTGGGCTTGGACCGCCCCCCACGCGCCACCAAAAGGTTCCCCCTGCGAAGGGCCACCCCTGCGTGATTACGTGCAGCCGACGTCTGCGAACGACGGGCTCCCGTCGGCGCGCGGGACTTCCTCCCAGCTCCGCACCTCACTGCTGGGCGCGCGAGGCATGCCGGTGGCGGCGCCCAGTGCAGGGAGGGTCTTTGCCGCAGACGGAAGTGTGCCGCCCAAAGGCGTCGGAAGTACGCGTGAAGTGGCGTTCTCTCGACCACCCCCGACGGATCGATTTGCGCTACGACTTGGGCCCTGTGCCCTAAGCCGGCTATCTAAGCGTCTCAAACAACCGGGGAAAGACGCGAAAAGTGCGAAAAGTAGAAAAGCGCGAACAGTGCGAAAAGTAGAAAAGTAGAAAAGTGCGGAAAGTGCGAAACATGGAAACGTAGAAAAGTGCGAAAAGTGCGAAATATGCAAAACGTGCGAAAAGTGCGACATGTAGAAACTGCGAAGAGTGCGAAAAGTGCGAAAAGCAGGAAAAGTGCGAAACTTAGAAAAATGCGAAAAGTGCGATGAGTGCGAAAAGTGCGACAAGCGCGAAGAAAAGTGCGAAACTTAGAAACAGTGCGAAACGTGTAAACAAAAATACGAAAAAGAGGAAGAGTAGAACATTGCGAAACAAACGCGAAACGTAGAAAAGTAGAAAAGTGCGATGAGTAGAAAAAGCCCGAAACGTTCCGAGAAGTCAGAAAGTATAACAGTGCGAATTGCGCGAAACGTAGAGCAAAACACGCGCGGGGAAGGGCGAACCTCTTAACAACGCGAAGCGCGAGAAATTGGAAAAACGCGAAACGCCCGAATGTTCAACAGTTACTTGAACGAAGCGAGTGGGAACGGCAGGAGGGGCAAGATGATGAGGCGGCCGTTTTCCACTTTTCTGCTGTTCCCGCTTCTAATATTGTTGTTGCTTTTCGCGTTTCTCCTCTTCCCCCGCTGTTTAATGTTGGTGCGTAATTGCTGCCATCGTCATCATCATCATAATCTTCACCATCACAAACATCATCAGGTTCATCACTCATCACGCCGTGACCATCATCCTCGCTTACCACTGTGCCATGACCATCGCCATCATCACCCTCGTCACCATCATCACTGTCATCGACAGCATCGGATTCAGCATCGCCGCCACCACACATCACACACACACACACACTCACCCACTCATTCGCTCACACACGCGCACTCATCTTGGAGAGGTCTCGAGCGGGAGCTTCGTCTGTGAGTAAATCGCGAGGACGTCTCAAACGGGAACTCCTCTGTGAGTGCATCGTGACGAAGTCTCTAGCGGGAGTTCATCCCAATGGGGCCCCCGCCTTCTATTTTTTCCCACGCGCAGGTCATCCGACCCCTGCAACCGTTGTCATTTCTGGGTTCCTCGGGCTTGAATCGGGAATCCCCTTCTCCTCTCCCCGAACTCCGACCTCCGGTTGGTAATATGACCAACGGCTTGCTCTGGCTCCATCGGCGAGAGGCGTCTGAACGGCTTGTTCCGCGCACAGGCAGAGACGGAAGAGAAGGAGGATGAGGAGGAGGATGAGGAGGAGGCGAACGAGAACGAGGACGAGGACAAGGACAAGGACGACACGGACGAGCACGAGGGGAGAGGAGGAGAAAAGAGGAGGAGGAGGAAAAGGAGGAGGAGGAGCAGGAGGAGGAGGGCTAGGAGGTGGAAGCGGTGGAGAAGGAAGGAGGAGGAGAAGGAGGAGGAGGAGCAATGAGCAATGAGCAACGCGCGGGGAGTTCAAATGAGCTGCTCGACTCACACCAAGAAACCTGGCAAAGAACTCTGCGCAACCCGACTTAGTGGGGTGCGGGTTATCACTTGAAAGAGACGGGGCAGCCCACGCTGGCTGGACCAGCACTGCCCCCGACCAGTAGCGAACCTCCATGACGCCACGCAGGCGTACTGGGAGGGGCCACCTAAGGGACCGACGGTTAGCTGGGTCCTCGGCCTTTGCTACTGCCTTTCCCCCTGCGCGGGGCCCGCTTGGGCGCTACCACAAGGGGGATCATGGGAAGATCAGCCTGCTGATGCGTGGCAAAAGCGGGGGTCCGAAAAGGATCTGAAATCACTCCCCTGGCCACTAGGCTTGCCAAACGAACACTACCTGAAAAAGCACCCCTGTTGGGCTGTGAAGATCTCCTCACATCCCCCTCCATCCTTCCACGGCTGCTACTCCTACTCCTATCCCCCTCCCTCACGGGCCTCACAGGCCTCGCTGGTCCACCCGAGCCCAGGACCTGATTCATTTCTTCTCGATCAAGTTCAGGATCCTCGCAGCTTCTCGCCCGAGAGGTCCTTTCGGGGCTGGGCCAATCAACTGCTCCGCCCTCCCCTGGTCCTCCTCGTAGTTGAGCCACCAGAATATCAGCTCCCTCGCCAACATGCCAGGCTCTTTGTAGCCGAAGGCGAAGGTCAGCCGCCCTTTCTTCATCTGCTGCTGCTGGCTCGAGGAGCCACTCGTCTCGGTCTTCCGCCCCTTGTGCTTCCGATGCCGAAAATGCAGCGCGTGATTGCCCGCGGTCTGTGGGGCGGCGCTCTGGATGTACTTCGCGAAGTACCCGTTGAACTTATTGGCCTCCGTCTCAGCGTACTCCTCTTTGCCGCCCTGGATGAACCTCTTCACGTTGGTGACGAGGTTGAGGCAGACCGCGGCCCACAACTGTACGCGCGGGGGCCCACGAGCGCGAAAGTCTACCTTTTCGCCTGCCCGTTGACGTTCTTTCATCTGCCTGGACATCTCGTCGTACTTGAGCCCTGAGTCGATCATGAGCTGAGTGGCCCCGTCGCTGGTCTCGAGGGGCCCCCGCGCCTGGTGAACCGCGCCTGCTAAGTTGGCGAGCTCTCGCGCCGAGGTGAGGCACAGCTTGGTGGGGAAGAGCATGAGGGCCTTGGTGAAGTCCTTCTCGTTCCTGTCGCCCTTGGCCCCGCCCTTGGCGTGCTTCGACGGCTTTTCCTCCGAGCCTGGGCCCTCGCCCGCCCCCCTCTTCGTCTCCGACATGGCCTGCGTCCACGCGGGCGGCGTGAGCTCCGCCATAAGCCGCGGAGTGCCCACGAATCTGACGGGTCCGCGGGGGCACAGGGCCAGGCAAGCGGCTGCGTAGATGTTGGCATAGTGCGTCTAAGTCTGAAGCTTCTACATCACACTGAGGACACGACAATGACGATGGAGGTTCAAGAGGGCAAAACGTTCTGCCCCCACCGAATCGACCGTGTCCCCGTCGCACAGCAAGCGCAAGATGCCGAGCGGCACATGCCCTGTCCCAGAAAATCTCCCTGCATCTGATACATGTGTTACTGGGGGTGAGCACGCGGCACAGGGGGCGCAGCGAGTGGTGGGGCCACATATGTGCCATCAAGCCCTTGCGCGTGGTGAACTCCTCCTCGCATCCCTCGAACTGGCAACGATAACGTGTTTCGAGTTCGGGAGATTCTTGTGTCTCATGATCACGGCCATCCCCATTTCCCACCTCACCTTTCAGACCAGGGGGGGCGATAGTCACTCCAAAGCAACAGCTCCGCATCACAGTGAAACCGATGTTCAAAAGCTCGCGGCGCACCTCGGGGTCCCACGCGAGGCCAGGGCGATCTGCAAGAGCTCCCAGCACATCCCCCGAATCTCGCATGAGCCCCCGTGCCCAGTAGATGTCCCAAGGGACCCTGCGAGCCCAGGGGGAGGCCTTGGGGGTCCGGTATCCGTCGACGAGGGGCGCCCCCCCGACTCGAAACGCACTTCCCCGAAAAGGGCCGAGAACAGCTGGGTGTGACTGGCGGGGTGGGCAGCCCAAGACTTATACCAGTTGAGTCGACGAATGCCCAGCCCCACCGAGGTCTCACAAATCCGCAAGCGTTTTAGCACGGCCTGGTTGGACATCCCCTGACTGCGCCAGTTGAAGTAGCCCAACGTGCACGGCCTCGCATGCACGCGCGGGCAAAATGAGCAATAGTAGCATCCAGGCGGGCGCTCTGCTGCTTCGCGAGCAAGAACGCCCCCATTCCACATGGAGCCGAATTCTGCACAAGGGAGAAGAAGATCGCCCGAGTAAGCTCCCAGGGGAGGGCCAGCGCCCAGAAACCGCCCAGGGAGAAGAAAGCCGAACGTGCAGCCCGATGTCGTCTGATCACCTCCTGACTCGAAGACTGAGACATGGAAACGTAGGGCCCCAGGTACCGCACCCCCCCCCCCCCCCCCCCTTCAGAGCCCCAGAAATGAGAGCCCATCCAGGCCCACGAAGCCAACGACGACAAGCCATGGCCCCCTCCCCCTCCAGCCAGACCGCCAGCTCTTGTTTCCCCCGATTCTGTTGGTACCCACACTCCTGGAGGTGAGAGTCTAGCAAATCGTCTGACGAGCGCAACTTGGCGAGGAAGGGGCCCATGAGGTCGCCCTGAGCGATCAGGGTGTAGCGATAAAGGTCGTCCGCATACTTAAAGAAGCTGAGATCAACTTCCTGACCTTGCCATTCAGCGCGTAAGAGGTGCAAAGATGGGTCAGCGGCACGGAGCGACTCCGCCCACTGCTGCACACGGCGCTGAAACGTAGCCGAGAACGCTGCAACCATGAACGGATCTCCCATCGCTCCTCCCACCCTGGTCTTGACCGCCACATCCCCCTCATCACTAGGTAGTAAAACCACAGCATCACGATAGCGTTTCTTACGCAGCAGTAAATTCTCATCAGAAGCGTGTAGGGCCATGCTCGTACCCATGGCCGTCCAGGAGGTGCTACCAAACGCATTACTCATATCCTTGAGACTAGCCCCAAAGCTCCATCCCGCCTGTCGGAATCTCCACCCAATCACCTGAGATGCCAAGACAGCCCCTTCCCGACGACGATGCCTCTGGAACCCATAGTCCTCAGGGGGGAGCTCATTGGGGAGGAGATCGGCGAAGAAAGCTTTGCCCACGACGGGGAGGACGTGGACCGCGCGTTTGCCGAGGCCCAGGCTGGGCCGACTTGTGTAGAGCGCATCCCCGACTAGTACCCCAATAGAGAGGGGCCATGTCTGTAATTATTGAATTCGCACCTTCATGAAAGCGTCGAGTAGCACCTCAAAAAAGAAAGTCGGCTCCACCGGTGCACGTTGAGCGCCGAGGCCAGCGCGTAGACCCTCCAGGCCCGCATCGGGGTGCAACATCTGCCACGAGAGCTCCAGCGGGGCGGTGCCGTCTGGGACGGCCCGTCTCTTGGATGCTTTGCGCACATACTTTCGGAAGCGTTTGATGTCCTCCAAAGCCAGTTCCCTGAAGCGGGGATCGTAACGGGCAATGTCATAAATCTTGGCCAGATCAAGGTCGTCCCTCTGGCTTCGCCACTGCTGCAAATCGATAGGGATGACTTTCATGCCCCCCTCCCCTCCAGAATCGGAATCGGAATCGGAATCGGCCTTGCCAGGGTGAGCCGCGAGGGCCCGGCAAGTTGGCACCGGGGCGCCAGCCACATGTGAAACGTGGAAGACGGCGGAAAGAAAACGACGCCTGGCCGCACAGTTGCGTCGGTCTGCGCGGCAGCCGGGTCAGAGGAGGAGGAGGAGGAGGAGGAGGAGGAGGAGGAGGAGGAGGAGGAGGCGGGGAGAGTGGAAAACAACAATCATCATGTGGGGAAGCCTTCACTCACAGAACGACCTTTCATATGTGGCCCAGTTGGGCGTGCGGGCTGCTTCCAGCATGTCGTTCAGAGTTGCTGTGTCTTCACGAACATGTGTTCTGAAATGTGCCAAAAGATCATCTAACCATTGTTTTTTTCTGCCGCCCTTGCCGTCGATGAGCTTGTCGAGGGAGCACTTGGTCTGGATTCCATAGCAAAACAATCTTCGCCCATTCTGCTCCAGAGAGGGCGGCGATGCGGGAGACCCATCTCCATCGTCGCCGCTGGACTTCTGCAACCCAGTCCGCGGCGCCCAACTTCGCGAGTTGATGCTCGGCGTAATGCGTGGAGCGTCGTATCCAGTCGACCCACGGCTCCATTTCGATATCTACATCGACAATGTCATCGGCAATCTGGTCGGGCGGGGAAGAGGGATTGGATGCGACGTCGCTCCCTGATGATCGCGATGATGCAAGACGCGGGGTAACGGGGGCATGTGCAACATCTTCATGGGCCGGACTCGTCACAGGCACGGCACGCAATGCCTGTTCGAGGCCCCGTCGCGGCACTTGGACTATCATGCGCAGCATCTGCCTGTGAGTGCGTCGAAGCCGTCCCAAGACATCTACCGTGGGGACCCAGGCTTCGCATCCGCAAAGAACTGTAGGGGCAACGCAGGCGTTGAAGAGTTTCAAGCGGCTCGCCAAGGAATAAGTTCTAGAAGTGAGCTCCTGCTTTAGTACGTGGAATTTCCGCCATCCAATTTTGATCCGGTTCTCCACCTCGGCCATGTTGGCGTCGCTGAACTGCAACTTCCTGCCAAGATACTTGGTTGACTTATATCCCGGCAACACTTCGATCGTCATGTCGCCGATGGTCACATAACTGTCCAATTTCCGACGTCGTGAAACAGGAAATCCATTACATAAGATTTTAGTTTTGTCTGGGTGAAGCTGCAGTCCCACTTCTGCGGCCTCTGTGCGCAAGTCGACAATCATGGTCTTGATGTGCGTAAAAGACGTCGCTGCCAAGAGGAGATCATCAGCAAAACGTAAATTGGTTAGCCTCTCGCCTACGTGGCTGACCGGAACACCTATTGATGACGCCCGCCATTTAGATTTTGCTCTGCGTAATACTGCTTCCGATACAGCGTTGAACAATAAAGAACTAAGCGGGTCGCCTTGTTTGACGCCACGTTGGATGCTGAACGTCTTGCTGGTTCTGTCTGTTTTCACGGCTCCCGATTGCTTCTGGTATAACTTGGCGAGGACGTCAATGTAGCACGGCGGGACACCTTGGTTCTGTAATGCACTCCAAATACTCGAATGTGTGACACTGTCAAACGCCTTCTTGAAATCGACTGCCGCGAAATATAATGGCATTTGCCATTCCTCCGTAGCTTCTTGAAGCATCGTAGTTGTGAACAGGTGATCTGTCGTACTGCGCCGCGGTCTAAAACCAGCTTGGTCCGCGCACTGTTGATCGCCAAGGATACGGCACAATCTGTTGTACAACAATCGTGAAAAGACTTTGTATAATACCGGTACGCTGGCAATAGGGCGGTAGTTGTTCGGCAGCTGGGGGTCGCCACTTTTGAAGAGCACTTTGATGACAGTATGCTCCCAACCTGCTGGCGTGGGAGCGTCTGGCTTGATGACGTTGTTGTGCAAGTCGAGCAGACACCGTCGCAGTAGACCACCGCCTTTCTTCAGCATCTCTGCCACTATGCCGTTCTGGTCAGCTGCCTTGTTGTTTTTGAGCCCACGTAAAACATGATCCAACTCATCTCCCGTAAAATCCGGCATGATAGCGTCTGCGCTGAAATCCTGTTTGTACGGATTGCCATTCTTATGAATATCTTGGTAAAGAGCCTGGTAAAAGTCAGCGAAAACGTTTGCGATGCTCTGCCGGTCCCGAACTATATTCCCACCTTGGGATGCCATCTCTGTTATGAATTCCTTGTGCTTGCTCGACTTCATGCCAGAGATGCTCTTGAGGCCCTGAATTTTCTGGAGAATTTCGTCGATTGCCGTTCGTCTGCAAGCTCTCTTGATAGCACGGGTCTCCTTCTTGATCAATTTGCTCAAATGCCGCCGGGTAGGAAAATCTGTCATAGGCGTGTCGCGGCGTCTCTGCATGAGCGCACGCACGGTTTCAGATGCAAGTCGGCTCGTGCTTCCGGTCTCCTCTCTTTGGGACGCATGTTGGAGTGCATCTCTGAGCTGTTCTTCAATAATCTCGCAAGTGATCTGGAGGCGACTGTACGCGAGCACGTGCTCCAAGCGATCGGTGAGCGTGTTCACATAGCTGTCGATACTACATGGTGGCCACTTTGGAATGTTGTTCTTGGACTTCGGACTCCGCTTCGTCGTAGTCTCCTTCCTCTCCGGGGCCAAAGGCAAAGATAATTGGAGACGAAGTGCGCGATGATCTGAACCAAGATCAAGATCAAGAACGGCTTCACAATCCCGGACAGTGGCCCAAACGGGCTTGCTAGCCAAGAAGTAGTCAAGTTGTTTATTATCCCTTTGTGGCGAGATGTAGGTATAGAGCTGGTGGTCATGTTTGTAAAAGAACGTGTTCAATATTCTTAGTCGCGTGGAGGCCGCCCATTGCTTCAACCAGAGGCCCCGGACATTCGTGTCGCCATAAGCATACTGCCCCACCACGCGCTTGGCGTCTTCCTCGGTCTGCTGGCCCACTTTCGCGTTGCAGTCGGTCCCTATAATCATCATGCGCTTCTCCTTTTGGGCTTCTTGGCTGATGCACTTCAGAATGTCGTAAACTTGTTGAACATGCTTATCTGCGTAACCACCGTGAGGAAAATATGCAGTAACAACTCGAAAACGATGACGTCCACTCCCAACGTCGACATAAGCAATGCGCTCATTCACAGGATGGAAGGCTTGTACTTGATGTACCCATCTGCGATGAACTACGATCCCCACGCCTCTATGGTTGTCTGTATGTCCACATCCCATAAATGCATGACCCTCGCTTGTGGTCCAGAACTCGCTTTTGACAGTCCGCCACGTCTCATTGAGGGTCAAGAAATCCCATTCGAGAGTAGATAATTCGGAGAACAACTCGCCCATCCGGTCTCCATTGCTCAGGCCTCGAGCGTTCTTGTGATAGATCGTGCAAGTATCATGGGAGCGAGAGTCTGGATAGAACGATAAGGCACGTGAGGGTGAAGGCAATGAAGATGAGCATGAGGAAACTGATGAATGTGGAGATGAAGGAATACAAGGAGCTTCTGAAATCGTAGGAATATTGGTGCGACAACGCATGGCTGCCACAGAGAAGTCGCCAGCAACGTCTTTATACGTACCGCGTCCCCCCCCCTTCGTGGTGAACGTACTTGTAGTGGTACTGCCGGCACGCAGGCCGTCCCTCTTACAAGGTCTCGTGAAGGAGTCAGATTTGCCACGCTGGCTCAGGTCTCGCTTTGAAAGCTTCCCGAAACGCGTGGGCAATAGCATCCTTGTCAATCGTATATTTCGCAACCCCACTGTAATTCCAGAGTAGCTTGGTAGGCCCGTCCCCGGGGGCGGGCTCGATTTTGAGAATCGGGCCCCAGTCAACCGAGACGGTCCCCCTGTGTTTGTCTGCCCTCCATGGCAACTGAGAATGCTGGAGCTTCATGATGTCGAACGCCTTCCTCGTCTGGATTTCGGTCTTAATCTGTTTGCCGTTCTTGTCCAAGGAGATGTACAAATTCTTCAACTCCCCCGTAACGGTCTGGACACGAAAGTCTCTCCACTTGCCATGGTTGCGGAGTAAATCATATGCTTTTTGAACTCGTCGCGATGCTAAGCCGGATGCCCCTTTGAATCGGAGCGTAAAGCGTTTAGCAGGCGTAGTACCTTCAATTGTCCATTGGTCGCGTTGGATGCCCAACTCACCAATCCACTCTTCTATGGACTTGAGGGCCTCTGTGGTGGTGAAGAGCTCCGCGCAAGACAGCTTGAAGATAGTTGGGCCCAAGTCCCGCTCCCAATTCGACCCATTCGTAGGTAAAGGGGTGGGAATGGAAGCTTCGGCCTCGGCAATGATCTTCAGAATCTTCTCGATGGAGGCTTGCATCTCTTTTTGATCCTGTTGTAGTGCAGTCTGCTTAGCGCTCAGGTCGCCCATCTGCGTCTCGAGCTGCACGAAGCGCCGGTCCTGCATCTCCGCCATCTTCTTGATCGCAGACGTAGTTGATTGTAGAAACTCTTTCGAAGCCTGTTTGACGTTCGATTGCACAATCGTGTCAAAATCTCCTCGAAGACTGTTCAAAATTGTGTCGAGCTCCGACCGTGTTACGACCAGATCGGCTGCATCTTCAATTTCTTCTGCTTCATCGTTGCCCCTTCCACGCTTCGAAAGTACCTGACGTCTAGCCATCTGATCGAAGAAGGGTTATATCCACCGACAAAGCAAGAGAGATGTGAAATCTGATGATGGTAAGAGTAAGTTCTGGGAAATGGGATTGTAGGGTATGGGATTGTAGGGTATGAGGAAGTTGAGAAAGGTTGCGCCTAGAAACAAGCCAGCCCTTGGCGAAACCCTTGAGCCCTTGAGCCCTTGAGCCAACATCGAAACACTCCTGACAGAGAGATCGGGGTGGCTCCAAAGCGTCTGCCATCGCGTTTTTTTGAAGAGAACCTACAACGAGCCGCTCTCCTCGCACACCCCATCGCCTCCGAGATATTTATTCTAGCCCATGCCGCGCTGGAAGCCTGAACAAAAGAAGCCCTCTCCGCCCTCGCGTGGCGTTGTCTAAGCAGACGCATGCACTGCGAATCCTCGCGGAGCTCCCCCTCGACCGCCGGCAAATCCGTGGCTTGCATGCGAGGAGCGCGCAACTCAATGCGCTTCTTCAGCAGCTCACGGCGCAGCGCGGCCCAATGGGAGTAATCGCGCGGCACGCCCGTATCTTCGCAAAATAGTTCCGACCCCACCTCCACCAATCCCTGCTCTAGAAACTCAAAACAGTGATCTGGAGCACCCTGATCATGGGCCCGTATCCGATCCTCCTCCCGTTCCCGCATCCACTGCCCCACTCCTTCCACAAAGGCGATGCGCTGAGATCCAGAGCGGGCAGCAAGCATAAGAGAGGAGGTATTCCAGCGAGCCCGCTGGACAGGGACACATTCCTGGGGTCCTTTGGGATGATGTAGCTCCAAGTAGAGGGGGGCGTGATCTCCGGGGGGGTGGGGGGGGGGGGGGGGGGGGGGCGTCCACTCTGGGCTCGCAACTGCGCGCCGATCCTTCGCGAAGTATGGCATCGAGCCAGGCGGGCGCCCCACCCCTGCGGGATAAACAGGAAGTCGATCAAACTCGAGGGCCCTTCGGGTCCATCACCGTAAAAAGTTGGATCAAGAGATCAAGAGGGCCCAAGGTATTCGCCGCAGGCAAGTGATGCTGCTCCAGCAGGTGTGCCACCGACTCTCCTGCTCCCTGCCCCCGCCTCTCCCTCGCACGTGTCTGACCCACCGCACTGCTGCCATGCTCCTCCCACTTCCCCTCGACGCGACGACTGCCGAGCTCATCGTTCAAATCGGCAAAGAAAATAAGCAAACAACGTGATGGAAGTTGGTCGGGACACTCTCGCCACCGCTGGGTCATCCTGGCGACCGTCTGCGTGTACTTCGGGCCCGCCCCTTTCCCTCGAGGTTGAGGAGGATAGTAGAGAACCCCAACACACACGTCTACGATGTTGCGTCGAATGCGAGCGGCGAGACAACGACCCCAGAGCTCGGGCGGGCTGGAGAACACACGACGCACATGATGGCCTCGAAACTCTCGGCCTAGTAGGATGGAAACGCCAGCGCTACGATGAGTGTATAAACCTGATGCTACTGCTGCTTCAAGAACCACTCTTCCCTCCACCTTTCGTTGAAGCACCTGTTCCGACTCCCTGCACACGTTCTGGGTTCCCGCCAACAAAGTGAAGTCCATGTTCTTCGTGCAGGCGGCGGTCTCCTGGAGTCGGCTGCCAGTGCCCCACATGGGGTTCCATCCGAGCACCCGTAACCTTGACATGGTCGGCGGCGCCCCATCATCTCGCAACGGCCGCGCGGCCGTGGGTGCCTGGAGGCATTGAATTCGCGTGCCTCTGGCCCGAAGTCCTGGAACCCTCGAACCCAGGGGCTAGGAGGAGGAGAAGGAGGAGGAGGAGGAGGAGGAGGAGGAGGAGGAGGAGGAGGAGGGGAACGACGATGAGGAGGGGGATGGGGAGGGGGGCGAGGAGGAGGATGAGGACAAGGAGGAGGAGAAGGAGGAGGAAGGGGACGAAGAGGAGGAGGAGGAGGAGGAGGAGGAGGACGAGGATGAATAGAAGGGCGAGGAGGATGACAAGGATCAGGAGGACGAGGGGGAGGGCGACGATGAGGCAGGAGGAGGAGGAAGAGGCAGGAGATGGAAGGGAGGAGTTGGAAGGAGCGGAAGGGAATGGAAATGGAGCATACATCAGTGGGGAGAGGCGGATAGAAATTGGAATGGGGACAGGAGCGAGGTGGAGGGAGGCGGGGAAGGGAAACAAGGAGGGGAGGGGGAAAGGAGGGGGAGCGGGGAGGCGACAGCGAGGGGCTGAAGGGGAAACTGGGAGAGGAGATGGAGCACGCAGCCGATGCTCAGCGCTCCATGACATGAATTACGCTCCGCGGTGGGGGGCCCGAACCCGAAGAACGCGAGGGCACAACGCGCGCCGCCTGCGGTATCGCAGACGAGGCGGATGCTTTCCAGCAGTTGTTGTTTCGTGTGTTTCTGTTGTTCGTTTCTGCCGTAATGGTTTCCACATTTTGCTTCTCACTCCGGCGATGACAAAGGATGAAGATAACGACGACGACGACGACGACGACGACGACGAGGGGTATTCCGTGACATGCCCCAGAGGGTGCTCCGTGATATGCCCCCGAGGGTGTGACGTTATTGCGTGGCAAGGGGGGGGATCGGAGGAGGAGGACGAGGAGGAGGAAACTGAAAAAGAGAAGGAGGACAACGGATGAAGACAACGAGGACGGCGACGACGACGACGATGACGAGGGGTAAGTATTCCGTGACATGCCCGAAAGGTATTCCGTGGCATGACCCGTGGTTTCCGCATGTTGCTTTTCACTCCAAGGGAAAACGATGGAAGAAGGGGTACGGAGATTCCGTGACATGTCTACCCTTTCTTTCTTTGTTCCTGGGTTTCTCGCAAGAAGTTACTGTTTCAGTTTGTTGTTGGCGTCCGCGTCTCAAGTTTATGATTTGTCATGCCGCGTTTCAAGCTTTTCTCACTGCTTGTTGCTCTTTTCGCACTGTTCGCGTTTTTCGCACTTGTTCTACTTTTCGCGCGTTTCGCGCTTTTGACACTTTTCGCGCGTTTCTTTGTTTCGCACTTTTCTACTTTTCGCGCTTTTGGCACTTTTCGCGCTTTTCTACTTTTCGCACTTTTCGCACTTTTCGCGCTTTCCGCACTTTTCGTATTTTTCGCACGTTTCTACTTTTCGGGGCGTTCTCCGCTTATTAAGACCCGGATCTAAGCAGCACAGCCTATGCCTCTCGACCCCCCCTTTCCCGAGACTGGCTGTCCATCCTGAGTTTTTGTTTGATGGTCCAAGGGCCTCCAGCATGCCAGAATTCGGAAAAGTGGCCGCCTCGATCATCCCATCCGAGCCGCAGCACGTCTTGGCCCCAGGTCTCCACACACCGAGGCCCCACATCTGCCCTGGGAGGCGCCCCTGGCAGACTTTCTGGGCGGACCCAGCCGCGGCGATGAGGGCGCCCCCCGAGATCCCCCCAGGGGCCCAAAACGACCAGAAGCGGGCAACAACCTTTCGGTCCTCGATGCTCCGTCCCCCCAAAGTCCTCGGCTACGACGTCCATGTCCTCCCCGAAGCTGCGGAAGCACAGAGCGAAGGACCGCTCTGCGGTTTTGAGGGCTAGCAGCAGCTCGAAGAAGGCGGGCAAGAGCCCGACATCGGTACCGTCCGGCATCTTCAGGCCAGCTCGGAGCCTCTCTGCGTGACAGCGCGACGCTGGCGAGGGTGACGACTAAGACGTCGACGACGACGACGACGACGACGACGATGGCGACGCCGCTGTCGTCGGCTGCCGTGCATGGAGAAGTTCGGGCCGGCCCGAAGCCTCTGCGCGTGCCATCGCGACGCTGACAACGGCGACGGCGACGGCGACGACTGCGGCCACGATGGAAACAATCAGTCGTGCGGTGGCGCGAAATTCAAAGCGGACGTTGCTCGTCAGTTTCAGCCATCTGACACCAAGACCGTCATCTGGCGTGAACTTGCCTTGCTCGGCGCAAAACCCGGCTCAGACAATTCAGAAAAAGCTGCGCTTCAGTTTTCTTCGGCTTCCCAAACGCCGCTCAGCCAGTGTAAAGCCACCTCCTCCAGGGCCGCGCGCGAACGGCTACCAACTCCGGCTCAGCAAAACACTGGCTTCGCATCATCCTGCAGGATCTGGCGCTCTGGCTGAGCCCCGCTTTCGCTGAAACCCCCGGTACCTGCCATTTGACAACAAGAAACGGATCGCAGTGATATGCCTGCCCCAGGGAAGAAGGGTTTGGAGAGGTCCAGGGAAGCATACCTCGAATAGATCGAGCCGTCCAACGCCTGGGGATCTCACGGCGTTGCTGTCGCGTGGCTTCACACTGGCCCGCAGTCGACATGCCCGCACGACGATGATAACGACGTCGAGGGCGACAGCGTCGACGATGAACACGCGCCGACGGTGACGCCGACACCGACGGCGACGTCTCAGCGGCGCCCTAACGGGTACTTAGTAGACCCGTGCGCGGACTGATGCAGTGAAGTGTGGCGCTTTCCCGCGCAAGCGGCGCGCGTTGCTTCCACTTTCCTGCCACCGTCATGCGCGCTGCCACCAAAAAGCTTTCTGCGCACCGTGTGCCATCTCCTCGGTGGCACCCGCTGCCACCCGGCACATTCCTGCCAGCGCGGCGCCTCTTGGCGTACTCGCGCGACGCTGACGACAACGACAACGGCGATGGCGACGGCGATGAGGACGATGACGTCGACGCCGACGCCGACGCCGTCGACGCCGACGCCGACGCCGACGACGACGAACGACGACGACGACGACAACGACGACGACGACGACGACGTCGACGACGACAACGACCCTCGACGTCATGATTCCTTCATGGCTTCGACCTGGCGTCTCATCCTGAGCCTCTTCCAAAAAGGCCCCGGGGCCTGGCGCGGGCTTCGCGACGCGAGGGAGTCTGGGGGTTGCCGGCACCGACCGTACGACGTCGCTGGCGTCCGGCATTCTCCGGCCGGCCCACGGCCTCTCGGCGTGCCCGCGGAGCATGATCCCCGGGGACCCGTCCTCGCAGACGACGCCGATGAGCCTTTGCCTCGCCTTCGAGTTGTCCCTCCCGGGAAGCTTCCGCTCGACCCACTGGCAGGGCGGGGGGCAGGGAGGAGTCAGGAGGCAACTCCAGGAAGGTCTTCGGACGAACGACTGGGGACCAGTAAGCCCAACTATGAGGAGCCATGAGGCCAGGTCAGGCCAGATTGAATGCGGGATTAAGCAGGCTTAGCCTGCATCAAGCCGGATTACGCGGTAAACTGCCACATGAGGCTGGTTTGCGACAACGGATGTACCAGCGCCAATGCTGAATTTAGCCTCCAAGGAGATTTCATCACGGTGGGCGTTGCAAAGACAGCGTGCAAGATCGATCTCCGAAAAGTACGCTATCCCTGTGCTGCGATCCCCTCGCGAAGGCCCCTTCTGTGTATCCCCGTGCGAGGGCCGCGTCGGTGCACGCTAGACCCCATGCCATGGCCTCCTCGGTGCACGCCATACCCACTGTTGGGGATAGCTTGCAAAAAGCGGGCTCACGGCGCTACAGCGCACGCTACCTTTGCAACGACAAACGTACCAAGGACAGACCCAACCCCTCGCCCGTCGCGAAAGAGCCGCGGCGGACGGCTTCTGCACGGCCCTCACCGCGACCCATAACCATCAAGAACGCAGGATGGGGTGGGAGAAACCGGTCCTTGGAAGGTATTCGAGACCTCCCAAAATCAAAGCCCGGGAAAGGATATTGTCCAACAATCACGCCGTCGGAGGGACTCAGAGGGAAGATGAGAAGGTGGGGAAGGAAGAGGAGGACCTGGGAGGGCAAGGTGGACTGATGAGAGCGAAGGGATGGACGATGGCGAGGACGAGGCGGGTGACGGAGGGGGAGGAGGATAATCATGCGGAAGGAGGCAGACCATCAAGAGCCAGAGAAGGAAGAAGGCGAGGAGGAAGAGGAGGAGATCCTCCCAGGTTGAAGGAGAAGAGGAATATTGAGACGGACGATAACGGAGGGAGAAGGGGGAGGGGGGAGGATCGGCAGCAGCAGGGGGAAGAGGGAGGAGGAAACAGGTACTAGAACGAGAAACGTTGGAGAAGGGAGCAAACAAAGAGAGTGGAGGAGGGTGGAGGGAGGAGTGAAGGAGGGAGGAAGACAGGAGGAATGACGTAAGACAGGCAGGGAGGAAGAAGGGAGAGGAGAAAAGGAAGCATGGATAAGGAAGGAGGAAAAAAGATGAATGAGGGAGAGTAAGGAAGAGAGGAGGAGGGAGGGAGGGAGGAGGGAGGACCCCCTAGAACCAACCAGAGCCTGTTACCCACCAGCCCGCCAACCACACACACATATCCAAAAACACATCAAACACCGCTCTCCTTCTCCTTCGTCTCGATTCCTCCCAAAGAACTCTTCCCTGTCGCATCACCAGGCGTGCGGTGAGGGTGGGCCAGACGTATTTTGCCCAGAACCACAGCTGATGACTTCGAATCGTGGAACTTCTAACGGCTACACTGACGGAGAACTGGTCGTTTGAAGAACGAGGCCATCGCCGCGGCGCCTTGCACGCTCGTTAGAAACATTCTAGATGTCACACGAGTTGATGCAGGTCGTTATCACAGTGGCTCCCTCGCCCCGGCACCGCGCGCACTCGTCTTGAAAACGCTGCACTCGCCAGACGGACGGAACTTTCCATGTGGGGCTCTCGCTGTAGCGCCGTGCATCTTCGTCTGTTCTATCACAACCGCATGGGCTGCAGGCGGATGCCTTTCAGAATGGGGTTGCCGCTTGACTTTGTCTGGGGTTCTATGGCCTGGACCGTAAAGCTTCGCGGCAATATCACAAAGGACGGCCCGTTTTTTACAGGGGGTTCTCGCTCGAGACCCCCGAGGGTTCGGACGTGCCGCGTTTACACGGGCGGAAAGCAGAGCCATGCTTTCCAATGGACCTATCGCTGGACACTTGAGCGACGATCAAAACGGTTTTGCGCGAGATGGCGCAGCGACCTTACAAGGTGGCTTACGCGGGCCACCAAGCGCGGCAAATCACAGTGGAGACGAGGGCGCTCACGCGAGACCTTCCGCGAGCAGCTGGCGTGAGAATACTGGCCCAAACGAATTCCTATGTTGTTGTGCGTCGCTAGCCCCGTTCCCGCTTATCCGCCGACCCCTTGTGGGTCTTTAGGCGTGTGAGGAGATTCCCCCCCATAAGCCCCCCTTGGGATCCCAAACCGGCAGTTCGACCACCCCCCCTCGCCCCGGGCGACCCACCGCCGAACGCGTCCCCAAAACGAGCCAAGAGGGCACCAAAACGCTTCCCTGACCGTCCCAGAGGTTGACGAATCGCAGAAATATCGCCCCAAGACGCCCGCGATGGCTTCCAGGCAGCCTCCGAAGCCCTCAGAACGATCCAAGAGGCCCCCAAGAGGCGTCCCACGCCAGCCCGAAGAAGCCGAAATCGTCACATTCCCTTTGTAAAACGCTCGTTTTTACCAAATTGGCGTCTTGCGGTTTGGCAACATCCGGCACGGGCCACGACACCGCCCGCATCCTCCCAACACGGCGTCGGCATCTGCCGAGAAAGGTTTCAGAGGGCCCAAAGACGGCCTAATAAACGCCCAAATCGGCCCAAGAGGGCCTCCAGACGGCTCCAAGAGGGAGCCCGAAGGGCAATGTTTCCTTCCTTTGGGTTCGAGATTTCCTCAGCCTGGTGGACGAACCTCCCAAGAGGGCCCGAGGGAGCGCCAAGCGAGGCCCACAAGGCTCCCAACAACCTCCTAGACAACCCCCGAGAAGCCAATGCACTATCTTCAAGACGCCTCCGTGACGTCTCAAAACCAGATCCTGACTCCTCCTCCTCCTCCTCCTCCTCCTCTTCCTCTTCTTCTTCTTCTTCTTCTTCTTCTTCTTTTTCTTAGTTCACTACCCTTCCGCATATCCCTCGTGCTTCTACTCCTCCTCCTCCTCCTCCTCCTCCTCCTCCTCCTCCTCCTCCTCATCCACTGTCACCTTCTTCGCGTTACTATTTTCATCGGCTTTGTCCTGCCTCCCGCTCGCACCCCCGCTGCTCCCGCTTCTACGGGCAATGGCACGGGCGCCCTAGTCGTATCATTTGCACGCCTTGCACTTCGAAGCGCCCTTCTTCTCGTCACGCGCGACAGTGCTCGCGTCGCCGGAGAAATCCGACTTCGGCAATTTCCTCCGGCACTTGCCACCGCGCTGACAGGACTGCCATCTGCGCGACGCGACCCCGTTGGCAATGAAATCTGCACATGCAACTTTACTATTTCTCGTGAAGTGCTCGCTGTCCTGTTTGGCGCTTATGTGCCGCTGTCGAGCGAACTGTTTCTTGCGCGCTGCGCAAGTCAGCAGCCGCTTCAACCGCTTCGACTCATCGGCCACACCCTTCGCGGTGATGCCCCGCTCATGACAGCTTTCGCACGCCACTCTCACTCCTTCCTTCGTCCAGTGGCCCTCCCTTTGGTCGCGGTTCAAATGGCCGACCTCCCAGGAAGACGCCCCGCAAGCGGGCGCGCCGCACGTCAGCGGCTCCGTTTCCGCCTCCGCTTTCCGCTTGCGCTTCCCTGCTCCGCAATTTGTCCACAGCGCCGTCTCCTCCCGCTTCTCCGCGCACTTCCGACGCAACCTCCCCCCCACTGCGTAGTGCTTCTTCTGAGCTTCCAACATATCTGGCTTTTCGTCGCGCAGCGACAGGAACTTGTCGTTCGAACATCGCACTGTGCCGACGCTCTCGTTCCACTTCGCATTGCCGCTCCGCGAATTCTGCTCGGCTTTGACGTGGCTGCACTTCGCGCAGTACATTCTCCGAACCCTTGTTTGCCTCCCCCATCGTCGGCCGCTGCGCCCCCGCTCCGACCGCTGACGCGCCGCGTCGCACCGTCATTATCCGATTCGGTTGTCCACCCTCTGAACGTTGTGCACGATTCCCCATCCGCATTGTTGATCTCTCCCGTGCATTCTTGGCAACGCGCCGGCCTCTCCTTCCTCTGGCACTCATACTTCGTGAACGCCTGTGCCAGCAAACTCCGCCGGCAGCGCTCGCACTGGTCTCGGGGCAGCAGTTCCGCCCCCCACCCATCCCAATCCACGCCCTCCCTTCGTGGCACCAGCAACGGCTTTTTCGCGCCAGCCATCTCTCCTTCGTTACGCTGCCTCCTGTCAACGGGTCAAAAAATCAACAGGTTCTCTCGCCTGCGCGCGCGCGATGGCAACGTAACTTGACATCCAACTCACGCCGCGCCCTCTTTCAAGGTCCGCCATCGCTGCCCCCGCGGCCCGGCCCCGCGCCGAGTGCGCCGTCACTGCCAAAGACGGGGTCATCATGAGCTGGGTGCATTTCGCACTCAATAGCGGGTGCTTCCGATGCCCGCCCAAGAACCGTTGCCGCCCTTTTGATGGGAAGATCGGATGCAGACCCAGCCCCCGGCCTGGCAAGTGCCACCCTCTCGCATGAAAGTCCAACGCACTCGCTCTCGGTAGATGCACCGAGACTTCCTCGTCTTCATCTCCCAGGACCTCGTCCTCGTGCAACCTCCATCCATATCGTCGCTGTGCACCCCTGCAACAGCTGCTTCCTCGACCGGTCCAGGCATCTGCCAAAACTGCAGGCATCCCCTTCGCCAGAGGCAACCACCTCGGCAAGCTTGCGCACTCCTTGTCGCGGTGCCCCGGCCGCCGCAACTTGCTCTCCAGCGTGCGCGGGCGTCCCTGTTCCCCGCCATGGCTCGGGCGATCTCCGGCTGCGACCCAGACCAGCTGTTCCCCTGGCTCCTTTGTCCACTGCGCAGCTCTCTGCTTCCTGACGCGGCAACGAATGTCCTTTTTCGCACAAGTGGCGACGGCGTCGACAAAATTATCCTCGCGAAGCCGCGCGTCTTCCGGCGACGTCGCGACGAGCTTTCCCCTCTCTCGCTCAACTTTGCAGGCCGCACATTCTAGGCCGTCCTGCTTCGCAATTGCCTCTGCGCCTCGTACACAACGCGCGCCCCCGCACAACGGTGCGCCGTTTACTCGCGACCCTGGAACATTCGTCGGTCTGCCACGCGAGAAATTCCGACGGCTCTCCTCGGCGGAACTCGCCCTGC